CCACAATCAAGCCGCACCGCCTTGTCCGGGCCCTGGCCGAGCATCCCCAGCGGACATACGAGGTCCGTGCAGGCTCCACGACGAGCCCCCTGCTGTTGCCGATGCCGGGTCCCTGACGCGCGCATCCCCCTGTCCCCTTTGTGCAGTCGGCGCTTGGGGTATTGAATTCCCTCCAGTCGAACTCGGGTGTCCTCGCGGCCGTGCATCGCGCGTGCATCGAAACCCCCGGCCCTCGGACTGACAAGTCTCCCCCCGAGGCTGCTGACGCCCCAAGCACCTGCCATGCCTCGGTTCCCGTCTTCGGCAAGGGGAACCCCATGAATGAGCGCAATTTGCCGGAGATGCGCGCCTGCCTCGCACGCATGGGCTACTCTGTACGATGAGGGTGGCCTTCTTCGCGCGGGCCTTGACGCGATGTCTCCCCCGGCCCTGGCCCCTTGCCACCCTGAACGTGTCCCACTGACCATCGATGCGCACACATAAATGCCCGACTCGACACTGGCAGGCTGGCGACTTTGACCAGCTCAATATCATCCATGTGACTGGCACCAAGGGCAAAGGCTCAGTCTGCGCCATGACCGAGTCTGTTCTCCGCAGCGCCTTCGAGGCGGCGGCCCCCCTGTCGGTGGACACCCGGCATCGGCCCCTCCGCACTGGGCTCTACACTTCGCCGCATCTGGTGCGTTGGAGGAGGGCGGCCGTCCGGCGGTGATGGCCCCTCGCGGCATGTGCACCCGGTCTGCTGACACGCCACACGCATGCATACACCGTGCAACCATGCTGCTATACATGCATGTGTATTTTTTTGTGTCAGATCGATGTCTGCGAACGTATCCGCCTCAACGGCCAGCCCATCAGCCAGGATGCCTTTGCTCGATACTTCTTCGAGACCGCCGATGCCCTGGTGACCGGTCGGCCACCGGCCGACGCCTCGGGCTGGCCACCATTCTCCGGGGGCACGGTTCCGCCGGTGGCCGAGCACGGCCCTGCGGAGGAAGCCGCGCCGGTTTCGAGCCCGGCCAACCCCCTGCCGGACTTGCCGCCGGTGTCCTACTTCCGCTTTCTGACCCTCATGGCGCTGCATGTGTTCATGCGCGAAAAGGTATGCCAGCGTCCTGCCACATGCTTTCCCTCTCTCTCTCTTGTCCTCTCCCTTTCTCTTTCTTTCTGCATTTCTCGCTGCTCCATTCGCCGCCCTGCCGCCCACTTACCAAGCCGGCACAAATGCCTCGCGTAGGTCGATGTGGCCATCCTCGAGGTTGGAATTGGCGGAGCCTATGACAGCACCAATGTAATCAAACACCCGCTGGCGATCGGCATCACGCCGGTGGCCAACGACCATGCGGCCACCCTCGGCACCACGCGCGAGTCTGTTGCCTGGCACAAATCCGGCATCATCAAGGTACCACACGGCCCGGGGGCGCCCGCCGGCGATCCAGACAACCGGATCAGTCACCGTGCGGCTGAGATGCTGCCTAACATGTCGCCCCATCCCCCTGCTGCATTTCCATTCCCCTCCTCGCCTCCCCGCCCCCCCCCCCTTGCATTTTCCCCCTCTCTCTCTCTCTGTCCGGCTTGGTTGTAGCCCGGCTGCCTGGCCTTCGCCACACGGGAAGACCAAACCCCGGCGGTCCTGGCAATGTTGGATGCTCGCGCGCAGGAACTCCAGGTATGTGTCTGTCATATGCGTCCTTTTCGGCCTGACCGCGCCGGCCCTGCTAACCCGAGCAAATGGAAACCACACAGGCCCATGGCAATCGCATTGAGTATGTCACTCGAGGAGACTACCCGGCCGATGTCCTGGATGCGGTCAGCCTCTTTGGCGATCACCAGCGTCAGAATGCCGCTCTGGCTGGGGCTCTGGCGCGATCGGCCCTCGGTGTCCTGGCACGCTCCCCGGACCCGGCCCTCGCGACCCTGGCCCCGGTTGGTACGTGCCCAAATGCGCCTGCCATCTGGTTTTGCACGCACACCCAACCAATCCCAGCCTGAACACTCACCCGTGTGCATGCGCGTGTGTGTGTGTGTGTGTGTGTGCGTCTGTCCCCCGGCATGTGTCCCACCAAAGCCGAGGGCGATGCCTTCCTGGCAGCCATGCGCGAGGGGCTCAGCCAGGTCCAGTGGCCGGCCCGGTGCCAGACCATCGAGGGAGTTCCCGATCGGCCGGGCGTTCGGGCCTCGGAGGCCGGGCCCCGGGTGCTAAACTACCATGTGGACGGTGCACACACCCCGGAGAGCCTGGCCCTGTGCGGCCAGTGGGTTGGTGGGGACGTGGTCCGGCGATCGCCCGGGCCCCTGGGGCTGCTGTTCACCTTCACCCACGGCCGAGATCCCGAGCAGCTCCTGGCCGCTCTGCTGGCCAACCTCCCGTCCGGGGCCACTGCCACACACCCGGCCGGGCTCTTTTCCATGGTGGCCTTCTGCCCGGCCCCGGTGGAGTTGAAGCCGGGCGCCGTGGCGGCCACCGTCTCCGAGCAGCCGGGGGCCGACCCGGCCGACTGGCCCGAATCGGCCGAGTACCACGAACAGGCGGCCCTGGTGGAGGCCTTCCGCCGGCTGGCTCCGGCCGGGGCCCCGGAGCCGCGGATCTTCCGCACCGTCGACCAGGCCATGGCTCATCTGCATGCGAAGCTGCTCGATGAACAGGCCGCCGGGGCTGGTGGTGGCGGGCCGACGGCGGGTGCTCGTCCTGGGGTCGTCGTCACGGGCAGCCTGTTGCTCTCGGGCGCGGTGCTCAGTCGGCTGCGCTTCGCGTATGGCGTTGGCCTGGGCCGGGGCGTGTAAGTGACATGGCTGCACGTACGGGCACGGTGCCTGCCGGGGCCACACACCCCTCCGGACGTGCGTGCTCCCTTGCCATCCTGTATTCCGGCAAATAGATGTGAGGAAAAGGGAAGAAGGCCGCACGGCTGTCTTTTGCCCCGGGGCTCATGCCTGCGCTTGGCCGAAGATCCGGACATGCTGAAATGACGGGGACACGCCGATCGATGGGCAGACAGACGAATGTGCACACTTGGGGGTATGTGTCCCCCCTCCCCCCCCCCGCTCAAACACCACACGCATGCACATTCGATGGCAGAGGCGCCGCCTCCTCCTCGCGCCCTTGGCCGTAGACGCATGGGCCAGGCGCGCGCCTGGACATCACGCACCGAGCAGCCCCCTCCCTCTCGACAACGCAAAGGGGGGGGGGGAGGAAAGAATGAGGTTGAAACTTTTATATTATATGGTTTTTTTAGGGGGGGAAAGGGGGAGAGGGGGGAGCGAGTTTGTCCCTCACTTTGTCGCCCTCTCTCTCGATCTATCTCGGCGTGTCCGGCGCCCAGAGAGGGGACAGCATCGCGCACAGGAGAGGGAACATCCAGCCTGGCACGCATGTTGTTCCCCACACCGGGGACGGAGAGAAAGGGACAGGCGAAGAGGCGACAAAGAGGGACCGCCCCCACGTGTGCTGTGGAGAAGGCGTGCGCATGTGCGGACGGCTGCGCGAGGACTGAGGGGGAGGGGAGTGGGGGGCCATCAATCACACACGCGCTACGGCTCCAGCGTCTACGCGAACATGTGTACAACCGGGAAGAGGACGGCGCGCAGCGCTTGTCTTACTGGTTGTGATAGCCGGAGTCGGTGTTGCCGGCCGGGGCCTGGACACCGGGGTCCTGGGTGGCGGTGTAGGTGCCATGGCTGGAGGTGGGCCCGGCACGGTCGCCCATCGGGCGGTGGTAGCCGGAGTCGGTGTTGCCGGCCGGGGCCTGCTTGCCGGGGTCCTGGGTGGCGGTGTAGCCAGC